AAAAAAAAAAAAAAAAAAAAAAAAGAAGCCTAGAGTTAATTTTGATCTATTTCCATCAAGGAAAAAGACCTCCATTTCAGAGAAGAAAAGCATGTTATTCAATGTAGTCGAGAGCAAGAGAAGATTTTCCAATTCATCAAATTCTCATATTAAACGCTCTCAGAACAGGAAAGTAGCAGATCCTGTATCCAGCCATGCGCAGTTGAGCCTGTTCATAGGTCTGCCAGTTCCATATCCTCAAACAGTCCATAAGATTTAAGCAGAGGAATCTTATTTGAGCTGTTTTTCACTACAAGCAATTACTTTACCCAGCATAGCTTGTCTCCTCCCCCAGTATTTTTGTTTTTATAAGAGCAAATTTTAAAAGATTGAGGAAGAGAAACTCCCTTACCTGATGAAGAAAATTACTGGCTTCAGATAAATACAGCAGTCYATTATTGATTTTTGAATGAAAACTTTAAGGATATGTTTGACTGATGTAAAAGCAAGCTGTGGTATTTAGTTCTGGTTTGTGTTTTAGGCAGCTTTTACAGTCTGTTGAATCTGATATGCTTAAAATCCAGGTCAAAAAGAAAAAGGGGGGAGGCATTTCAACATTTTGCTATGGTTTAGGCTGGACAGCAACAACCACCACAGTCACTTCAAGTTAGACACAGACTATTTGGTTTTGATAGGTTGGCATTTGGGAGGAGAATATTGCCAGAATGGTATTTGTTTTACAAAAGCTAAAACTGATTTGCTTTTGTATATTTAAGGAGGAGGCCATAAAGGATTCATCTGGTCAGGAAGATGAGACACAGTCATCTAATGATGACCCAGCACCATCTGTTGCTTCTCAAGATCCACGGGAGATAATTCGCCCTCGTCGATGTAAATATTTTGATACAAGTATGTACAGTTTAGTACTAAGCACAGTCATCTCGGGATAATTGACTTCTGCTTAATAGCAGCTCCAATTACCATCATACTCTGTTTCTCAAACACACATCTAGATGCCGGCAGGCGTTTGTTAGTTCTTTCTTACCACTGTTCTTGATTAGCATTACACTGAAAATAAAGGGCAACAAGAATTCCTATTTTTAGCGGAATGCTAATCTTCTCACCAGATGAGGGACCCTGTGCAAGGGCACTAGGTATTACCRCCTCTACAACAAGGATTAAATGAGGTTAATATTTTAAATTTCTGCAGGTTTGAAAAAGCAGTCTCAGGCAGAGCGAGTCCTCTCGTTACACTGCTCTGAGCACCAAAGCAGTTCGGTTTATGACCCGGCAAGCTGATTTGCTAATTTGCATGATGAGGAGCATGATCCTTGTAATAAATACAGTGGAATCTCTCTTCAGTGGAATCTCTCGAGTTGTGCATTGCTGCGCGCTGAAAATGCAGCCCTTCTTTAGGGTCCTGGGAGCTTCTGCAGAGGTCCTGCAGCACCTGGCTGCTGAGCGCGGTACTGCCTTTTATTTCCAGCACGGACCAGGGGAAAATCCCTGCTGGCAGGGAATGCTCCGCTCCGGCACAGCACGTGCCTACCCGCCAAAGCCAGCGGCATCAACCTGCGCTCTCACTCAAAGAAACTGGCAGTCCTAGTGAGCGAGAAATACACAACATTTCCTAGAAATAAAGTAGGAAAAAACAAAAGCATTGAAATATGAAGAAGGCCAATAGACTGTTAAACCTGAATTAACGAAGGTGAAAATAGCCATGAAGGAAATCTACTTGAAAAAATCCACATTTGCTGCTGCTGCCAGCATTGTGAACTGATTCTTTCCCTCGTGTTTTGCTTAGGATGTGGATTTGGAGGCGTCTGAAACCATTGATGTAATTATGAGCAGACCCCCTAGACCACTGTGGCAGTCTTAACAGAATATGAGCCTTTCAGTATCGTGCCAACAGCTGAGCCATTTGCACAGCAGATACCTTCCTTGGGTAGAACTGGTTGTTGCTGGTGTTTGAATTCCTGCAATTCTCTATGTTAGCAAATGAAAATCAAGACGCAAAAGTTTCTTTAATATCTTCTGCTTGATACTTATTAGCCCTAGCATTGTAGAGATACATTTTTCCGATGTGTAGTTTATATTAACGCAGGAATTCCAGGGAATCTTAGCTATGCAGGGATTTGAACCAGAAATTGGCAAGCAAATTAACTCTTTTTTTTAAGGCTTCATGTAATGTAAATGTATTGCATTGCTTTGGTGGGTTTTACAGTGTTCAGCTGTGTCCAGAATGTAATTTAATGTGCAGATTTTTTTAGGTTTTGACATGCTATACATAAGCTTAGTGCTTTCAGTACCTTGTGAAAGGAAACTACTCCATATTGTAAAAATACTAAAGTTTTATCCTAAGTAATCAACATTAAATACTGCTGTCCATCCCATCCCATGTGCATCCCATGTACTGCTGTGCATCCCATCCTAAATCCGTGTAAGACTGAGGAATTAATATGTGGGAATTTCTTTCATGTTGTGCTCTGGTGTGCCTTTTGTGGCAAGGAGGAGAGCACAACAGCAACTGAATTAGGAGCTCACTGAAAATAATGGTGAAATTGCAAACAACTTTGATYTCAGTCTGAACACGCACATAAAAATACTCGGAAAAAATAATTRTTTGGAGTGTGGACCCTCTCAGCTACTTCAAAGGTGGGTGAAGGAAAGGAAGCTTTATCAGGAGGTATTAAAATTGAGGAATTCTGTGTTCACTTTTGCGGTATCTCATGAGAGCGTTGGGTGGGTCTGTCTCCAAGTAGTGAGCAGGGAGACACGTAGCAGTGCCGGGYGAGCGGGCGCTCGCGCTTCTGCCGCCTTGGATAAGGGGTCAGGGAGGCAGGGCCGGGCTCCTGGATGCCAGTGGGACGAGGAGCCGGCTCGTGTCCGGCCACGGAAGGTGCTCCCGGGATCCCGCGGGCTCCCCCGGGGCTCCTTCCRTGTCAACGTTTCCCCCTTTCCTTGCAGATAGCGAAATAGAAGAGGAATCGGAAGAAGATGAAGACTATATTCCATCAGAGGACTGGAAAAAGGTAAATGTTAAGGGCTGTTAAAAATATTCCGTGAGTAATGAGTTGATCTGTCACATAGCAGCTTTCAGCTCTGTGGATTGCCCAATTGCTCTCCTCTTTTCTTCCACAAAAATGAGAGCTTTGACAGGAATGAGTGTTGAAAGCCTCCCCAGTAGAAAGCATTTCCATGTAATTTGTTTACTCTTTCTTTAGTTTTCAAACAATGAAAATTTTAAAGAATTAAAAWATATATATATATGGTCAGACTCTCATTCTGTAATAAAAAAAAAAAAAAAAGGTACAGTTGTGATTGCTTTTCCTTTTGCTTCTCTCTTATTTCAAAACAGGAAATCATGGTGGGCTCTATGTTTCAAGCTGAAATTCCAGCTGGTGTGTGCAAATACAAAGAGAATGAAAAAGGTGAGASTTCAAACTGTTGTCATTATCAAAATGATTCATTTCACTTGCTAATGGAGAAAAAAATCCTTACCTGACTGATGTCATRTCTCTGACAAAATAAAACAGCCTCTTCAAGTGAAGGATAAACCCATGATCTCAAACTAYAGTGAGGCTGTACTTTGCTGTCAGAGCTTGAGGCTTGGGAAGGGAAGGAAGGATTGTGTTCCTGGACTGCTGAGCCCTTATGGGACTGTTGCATTCTAATTTGCCAATTCACACAAGGTTTTCATGTAGGCTGTGTTAGCCTCTTCACCTGGTCTATTGAGTTTTTGTGAAACAAAAYAATAAAGAAATTACAATTCTGGAAAGGAATTAACCAATTGAAAGGAGAAAAACGGCCAGAACAGCTTTGATTTTCACACTTACTAACCCTTTAGTCAATATTAAATAGCATATTATTCTATTTTCAGGATATTTCCCCAGAACTTTTTGTTTTCCTTTGCAACCAGAGCCTGTAGCTGTCTGCTGTCAGTATTACCAAGGCAGGAAAGGCAGGCCTGGTTCCTACCCAAGTGCGTGCGTGAGAGAAGCAATTTTCCCTGCTGATTCAACCCCTYACTCAGAATTTGTTTACACTGCAATCAGTTTGAGACTGCAGCGCTTGTGGTTTGATATAAACTAGTTTAAAACTAGCTGGCACAAAACTGCTCCTTCCTGGAATTTGAGTCAACACTGAAATAGTGGCAGTTGTCTTGCGTTAAGCTCCAGGTTTGGCCRTGCTGTAGCTGGCTCTAGCTGGAAACTCTCTGGAAGGGGCTGATCCCGCTTTGGGCTTGGAGCAGAGCAGGCCCACGCTGAAGCTGACAGCTTCAGTGAGCTGGAGTGAAATCTGGACTGTGTAGACAGAGAAGCTGGAGAGAAGGTAATTGAAAACCATGCGAGAAGTCCAGAGTTTACATTAAAAACAAACCTGGAATTCCCAGGAAATTTATTTATCTAACTTGTTCGCTTCAATGGCATTTAAACTTTGCATTAAGTAGTTTGAAAGTGTTTGTTGGGTGCAGAATGCAAAGCCTTTTACACCGAGCGAGCTTGTAGTTCATGTTGACGTTAGCAGGTCTGGATTCCTTCGCTCTACCTGCCAGAACTCCCTTCTGCTCTTCCTTGTGGATTCTAGGAGACGCATTTTAACATTATTCACGGGGACTTAAGGGATTTGTGGCTCCCTTTCACTACTGCAAGTAGCACTGAGGATTATGATGTTTCATCTGAATGTTGATTTTATTTTTGTATTTACCCAGAAAAGTTCATRGAGAAAGAAGGAAGTTGTTTGTTTTTCCAGAAAACTTCTCCATGCTAGAGCTGTATCTTTGATTTTTTTTTTTTTTTTGACTGAGTAGAGCTCAGAATTTAGAAAATGAAGGTAGAAATCAGATTTCTGTTGATTGCATTTTAAAATCTTATAATACAGTTGTGATTATATCTGTGATTAGGAATTTGTCTGTAAAAGCCACCAGTAAGACTGTAACTCTTCTGGAAAAAATACGTAAGAAGCATACTACAAAATACGTGCTTTTTTTAGCTGTTAGTAAGTTCTTTATATGCTTTACTGCTTCCCTCTAAAAATAGAGCTTGAACTTACACATTCACTATGTTCAGAGATTCGGTAAATTGGACTTTAGTGATCGGTCAACTGCTCTTACTGGTATTTGCTTTGCTCTAAATGGCTTCTGGCCTCCAACAATAAAAAGATATAGCTGCTTTATGCRTTGCAGTAACCTACATAGGAGTTTTTTGTGGTCTTGCGTGTGGCTCTTTGTAGAACCAGGAACCTACGTCATGGGCAGAAAGTGTTGAGGAGAAGGTCACGTTTTCATCAGTCATCCTAGGGGCTTGTCTTCCTTTACAGCCCAATAGGATTTTACATACTCTGCCACTTTTTTTGCCATTTTGCTGTGTTTTGGATGAAATTTTTGACTTTGCCTTAAAATCAGTTATTGGTTATCTCACAGCTTCTGCTGGCATTCCTACCTCAGTATACCTAGAACCTATATATTATGTGGGGACCTGAGTATCAGATTAGGAGTAGCCTTTCAAGGTGCAGAAAATTGTCAGAAGCTGCTTTCAAAGTATCTTCACAGAGGTTCTGTGTGAAATGAACCYGTCTTTCTTTGCCAAACACTTATTTTCATTAACAGCTTGCTTTTTTCTTTCAAATAGTGACCCACGTCCATGTTAAAAACATCTGTTTTTCACGTCAAGATGCACCTGGCAGGTATTCTAGGCTTCCCGTGTGCATGGCAGACTCCTACACGTGCACCTGTGCCTGCACAAATGCCTGCTCCTTGGCTTCTCCATGGGGAAGACTCGGAGATGGATGGATGTGCATGTGGATGTGCACGTGCATTCTGCCTTCCCTAAGGGCATCTGGCATCAAAGACTGGGCCATTAGCAAGGTCTCCAGTTCTGATTCTGATTTTTATTTTTAATAACTTGAATAATTTCACTGTATTTTTGTCATACTGATATTTTCAATCTGAAAAGCATCAGGCTAGTTGGGAAATACAGGAGACAGTTCAGAGGATAGACTGTTTTTCCATGTTATTCCCATTAATTTCAGTTTGCTAAAGTTTTTCTGGTCTGAAATCTTACTCAGAAGTTCTGAGGAAAAGAAACAAAGAGATTTGGTAGTATTAAATTCATTGATCTTTACATACCTAGTTTGTTTTAGAGACGTGTCTTGGAAATAGCAGGAAGGTGTTGGCAAGCAGGGATTCCCTTTAGGAGCCGTTTTCCCTTCGCGGGGCCTGGCCTCGGGATACCRTCTTTCCCGGAGGAGTGCTGGGCCTGGCTCCCAGCTTTCACCCACCCTCTTAGCTCACACACCTGCATTTTGAGACTTGGTAGGGGGTTTGGCACGCGGCGTTGGGAGACGTGCCCTTTGCTTTCTCCCTGGCTGATCCGAGTGGTCTCCTAAGAAAACGACAGCACCCAGAGCGCGGATGGCAGCAGCCGTGTCCCGATGGYGCGAGGCAGAGAGGTTTTAGCTTCCCTTTCTTGCTTTGCTTTTTGCCTGTGGTTAATCCAGTGTATGAAAACGACGACCAGCTGCTGTGGAATCCCGACTTCTTGCCAGAAGATAAAGTGATCGAGTTCCTAAATGAAGCCTCCAGGCGGACGGGTGATGAGAAGGGCCTGGATGCAATTCCCGAAGGATCGCATATTAAAGACAATGAACAGGTATACCAGGAATAACCAGGGTTTGTAGTATAGTTTTACAGAAGGAGTTGTATCTTTATTCTGTTTTACTCCCTGGCCTTAATATCGGGCTTGAAACTGCTTTAGTCTTTCCTGTGGTAATAGATGTTGATGGGTTTTTTTTCCTGTCCACAAACACAAAATATGGGGCATCTCACTGTTAACTCAGGCTTAATGTTGCTTTTGCAGTAATGCATTGTTTTATGTGTAAAAACAGTGCATGCATGAGTTCTGTTCTATTACTTTGTTTTTAAATGTTAAGAATGCCTACTTTTTTTTTCCTTCTTACAACCTCCTCACGCATTTTACAAATGTAAAGTGGATGAGAATATTATATTGCTTTACCTGGGTGTGTATGTGGTTGTGTAAATAGAGATTTGGAAATGGAAACAGAGGGAATACCTCTTTGCTCTGTTTTGAATTGTAATATGTCCATTTTATTTATTCAGATTATTTTTAATCCTTTTTGAATAGCATTCAGTGATACACTAATTATGCTTCTGTGGCATAATGTAAAATGAGCGATGTTTATAATGTTAATTGTGTGTCTTTCATCTTTCCAGGCATTGTATGAATTGGTTAAGTGCAATTTTGATACTGAGGAATCATTACGAAGATTGAGATTTAACGTAAAAGCAGCCAGAGGTGAGGATACACTAACTGTTAAACTTACACTGTTGAACTCAGTTTGTTTGTCACGTAGGTGACGGGCTTTGCAATCAGGCAGCTTGAAATCCTTTATTAGGGCAGGATTGCGTGGAAGCGTTAGTAGCAGTGCCCATTTCAGTGCAACCTTTAGTGAATCTCTTAGCATTTTCTGAGAAGCAGTATAAACAGGTACRTGGCCAACTACAGCACTGCAAATTAACTTTCTTTTAATAGAGCTTAGTGTTTATATTTGTGGCTTAATAACACATTAAAGTGACTCCTTATCAGCTAAATTGTGCATTTCTTGAGTATATGGTTCATTGTTCTTCCGGATTTCTTCCTTCATTAAATTTAATGAAGGGAACATGTATAAAATGAAATAATTCACAATTCTAAATAAAGGAAATTGAGCATCTACATATTTATTAAAAAAAAAAAAAAAAAAAAAAGAACAACATAACACTAAAAACCTCTCTGCTTTTGAAGAGGCTTTTGCAGTTTCTGGTATTTCCTGGGTTTATGTTGATCTTTCTTTTGTCCCCAAAAGAACAAGACAGACTAAGAAGAGGCACATGTTATTTTCCTTGCACACTAATGTGCTTTTAAATATGCGGCTTGCCCTAGTTTACTGTGCAAATTGCGGATGGCGGTGATCAAATCAACAAGATTAGTTCATTTCTCACTCTTTTAATCCTTATTTATTTGTGACCTTAAGAATGGATGAGGCCAAGTTATGTCCAGTTTTTAGAACTGTGCCTAAGAGCTACTAGGACTCTGTTTTGGCTTSCATGCAGCCCAGATTTCCCACATGGTGCTGAACCAGGCTACTTAGGCCAGCTCCCACCTACTCACTAGGTGGGAGAATTTTCTTTTTTTTTTTTTTACTGTTAAGCAAAACTTCTGGAGACGGGTCTCATTTTGTCAGCAGGTGGCGTARGGAGCTTAGATATCATGTCTAAGCTTTTATCTTAATCATATTCTTTATTACTTTTCCTTGCTTTAGAAGAATTATCTGTTTGGACAGAAGAGGAGTGTAGGAACTTTGAGCAAGGCCTGAAAGTCTATGGCAAGGACTTTCATGTGATTCAGGCAAATAAGGTAAGCACTGAATTTCTTAAGTTTCCTTCTCTTTTTTTGATTAGGAAATGTCATTGTAAATAAAATTGTATGATTTCATCCACAGATCACTAATTTATCCTAAATATGTATATGTCTCTTTGGCAAAGTCCAGTGCGACTGTGCAGCCTCAGTTCAGAAAAGTGCACAAATCTTGCTGTGCACAGACATGTGGGAAGACCTGCATCCCTAGTCTTAGATCGCTATAACAAACTTCCACATTTCTCCCGAGACATTTGTTTACAGCACCTCAAGATATCTTCAGTATTCTTGAAAGTGCAGATAAACTTTGCAGTTTAATTTTGGGACCTTTGAAACGACATCTCTAGTTTCTGGTATTCCTTCTATCATGTAAAGCAACTTTGATTTTGAATTTCACAGCTTTTGAACGCAGCTTTTTGCCAGAAATGCCCCTGCCTTCCTCAGCAGCCTGTGTGACCTGTTTCCTAGGTACGAACGAGATCGGTCGGCGAGTGTGTTGCGTTTTACTACATGTGGAAGAAGTCGGAGAGATATGACTTCTTTGCCCAGCAGACCCGGTTTGGAAAGAAGAAATACAATCTCCATCCTGGTGTAACGTAAGATGAGCTTTGTTTTCCTGTGTGCTTTTACATGTTGAATACAAACCTTTGTTTGGTGTTGCTCTTGCGCAAAAAGGAACAACAACCTAGCGATTCCATAACTCAGTTTGCAGCAGGACATCAGCCAAGGTAGAGGAGTGCATGCCACTGCATATAATGTAATTTCTAAAGCACTTTTGAGTGGAATTAGGCTAACAATTTGCATCAAACAGCTATTTAATTTAGCKTGTTTTCTGTTTAAATGGTTCACAAACATGTTTCTGCAGATGCCTGGATTGTTTTAAATATTTAATGTGTTTATGTAAAAGGCACAAATTTCAGGTGGACTTTTTTAATATATGTTCCATAGTATTACTTAAGTGTTTTGTTTGGCAAGCGCTTCTAACAATATAGTACCCTTTATTGTGCTTGCATTGCCCCTTCTTCTGCCCTCCATTCAAATGCTCTGATGCTGAATATCCCCTCCTTCAGCTGGCTCTCTCCTTCTATCCTTCTTTTTTCTTATTATTCCTTTTTTTTTTTTTTTTTTTTGGAGTGTTCTAGAACATTGCCTATTTAGAACCATGTATTGACCACCAAAGTGAAATTGCAGGATGACATTAAGAGCTGCCATCTGGCTTTTCTGATACGTAGCAGGTCACCGAGAGGCATCTGGGGCTTATGGCTTTCCTTACCAGTTGTCAGGGATTGCCTCCCTCCCTGCCACTTCTCATCTGTTTTATTTTCCCCTGTTGTACCCGAATTAATAGAGGTTTGGGGTTAATGACTTAAAATGCTCTCTGATTTTTTGCAGTTGTGTGCATAACTTATGTCTGAGGAAAGGGCCTTAGTGGGTGTGCTTGTCTGTTCTTGCATGCTGTTGCAGACRGTCGCGGGCATTCGGGGTGCATCGCCAGGCCCCCAGCCCTTGTGTGTGTGTGAGGATATGCCGCTGCTGGTGTTAATCCAAAATAATCCTGCACGGAGAAGGGCTTTACCAGCCAGCGTTGTTTAAATCTTTCGTAAGGGATTTAGTATATGTAAGTGACCTAAAATGTCGGGCTGCAGGGGAATTCACGTATCAAGATGCCTTATGTTGAGGTGTGAAGTTTTCCCCGCAGCTTCCCTCCTTTCGGGGCTGCTTGGACAGCATGTTATCGCTGCTCCAGAGGATTGCAGGGGCTTCATAGGAGCCTCCCGTGGCAGATCGGCCTGTGGGTGCTCTGCACAAAGCACAGGGCAGCAAACGGACGTTTCTGCTGTGCACAGTCTCTGGGGACTCAGCGTAAGCACAGGCTGAGTGTGTTGAAGCTGCCTGCAGTGGTTGGTGCCTCGTTGCTGTGGACAAACCATACGTGGCCCAGTTACCGTAAGTTACGGAAATCGTTAACTTTGCAAAATAAGTGTGCGTGTTTGACGGAGACACCAAAACGTGACCAGGACATAGGTGACTATTGCAGTGAATATTTYGTACAAATTAAACCAATCCTCTAAGAGCAAAGGCAGTGCTGATCGTGGCGTCTCTGTCGCGCAGGGATTATATGGACCGCCTGCTCGACGAGAGCGAGAGCGCGGCCTCCAGTCGAGCGCCCTCGCCGCCTCCCACGGCCTCCAACAGCAGCACCAGCCACTCGGAGAGGGAGGACAGCACCACCAGCAGCAGCAACCAGAACGGTGAGCGAGCGGCTGCCCCGGCGCCCGCGCGGCTGCCGACGCCTGGCAGCAGCGTCACACACGGCAAGCTGGAAGAGAGGCCCGGCCTTGCCTCGCTGCAAACAGCTCCATGTTGGTTTTAAACAGTTCCCAGGGGGATAGCAACTTTCAGTTTAAAAATATTTAAAAAAAAAATTGTTTGCACTTAGCTAGTGGCCGTGTGTAGAATATAAATCTCCTCTAAAATCTTCCCCGTAAAAGGTTATTAATCTGTTTTTAATGCCAGCTTTGTGAGTAGTTCTATGCAGGCTGCTTAAAACAGCTCTCCGGAACGAGAGGACAAAAGCCAGGGCCTCATCAGTCCATAAGAATATCTCAAGAATATCTCAAAAGCAGGAGACAGCCACTCTGAAGGAGCTGAAGGAAAAGTAGTTGTTTCTGTGACATTTTCAGGGCTGCTGTTGTTTATTAGGGCTTACTACTGTCATGATATGTGTATTTCTGKGAGGATAAATCACTCGTTCATCATCCAGCGAGGGGACTAAGAGCAGCATTGAGTTTTAAGTTCAACAAGACTAGCTAAACTTCTGTTTCACTCGTGTAAAGCCAGCTGCTTATTATGGCTCTGCTKTTGTTTAAGGTCCTGTTCTCACTGTGTTTCTGTCATGCAGGGGTGTCCACTAATGGACCGGGTGAGATTCCAAATAAAGAGGAAGCAAAAACGGAAGGATTGCATGTCAATGGACCTTCCAGCGGTAAGAAAACACCTCACACGGAGCAGGATACAAATGGGTATGAAACAGAAAACCTTTCTGCTGACCCTAAAATTGCTCATTCGACTGCAAGAAACGAAAATGAGTTYGAAGACAAAAACGAAAGACCTGTAAAAAGAAGAAGAATTAACAGCAACGGAAAAGAGAGTCCTGGCTCTTCAGAGTTCTTCCAAGAAGCAAACTCACACGGAAAGCTTGAAGAACTTGAAACTTTGGATGACTGAGTAATAGGAGCTGATTTTATTCCTTGGAGTAAATTCTGGGTGTCTAAAATTTTCAGGGTTGATGGGTTACCTTACAAAATTCAGTTCCATGAAACAATCTGCTGAGATTTTTCTAATACCTTTTAGTTGRCTCTAAAGATTTGATTATTTTCCTACTGTTTTTCAGCACCAAAAAACAAATATTCWGTTTCTCAGAGCTCTTAACTGGAGTTGTGAGAACATTAAGACTCTTTAACATTTTTGAGAAACAAATCAACCTCATACGTTAAAGAAATTTCTGTTTATATAATACAGTATTTACGCATTGTGCAGCKGAACAAAGCGTCCTCTCTGAATCCATGAGCTGGTTCAAGTTGCAATTTATTGCAGGAACTTACAATGAAATACAGAATTCCAAAACGTGCATCAGAGTAGGCATAAAGGCTTTTATTCATTTCAAATGGAAAAGCGATATCCCATTGCTAAGGAACCCTTATGAATCCTGAAAGTTACGAGCACAACTATTTTTATATATAGAAGTTTTAAAACGTAAATAAATAAACCAAGTCAGGTTTGTATATGTAAAATTGTTGACATCAATGATGTCTTTCCATATTCTTATCTGGGCTAAAGAAATACATTCTGTATTTTTCCAGATTTCTTTGTAGCCTTTGAAAGATTTTTACAGTACTTACGTCTTGATTGAAATGTCCTTTCTTAAAACAAAAGCTTGTATAATTTTCTTACCTTGTACAGTTGGTAAACTTTTATGAGAGAATTGATATCCTGAGTCTAATGTCAGCTTCATTTTATTTTGCTAAAGTCTTTTCTAAAAAAAAAAAAACCCAAACCAAACTTATCCAATTTTAGAAAATGTTTATTATTCACCACCATGCTGTTATCTCCTCAAAGAAGAGTAAACCATCACCATGAAAAATGGTTAGAAATTRTAATATTGTGAAAATTGGACTTCATATTTCTGTTTTATGGCAAATAGTGATGCTTAGAATTTATTAAGCATGATGCTTTGCATTGCACAAATTTTCTTGCTTTTGTTRGGCCTTTTCTCATTTTCTTTTTGAGCTCGGATAAATTTCCTGCCAGCCAAACGTTTGTTCCAGACGGCGTTCCCCAAGAGCAGGTATTAGATTATCGGCTGGTTTATTGCCAGGCCGCCCTGTGCGTCTCGTGGAGCACAGAAAGGGCAGGAAGGGGGTGGCGAGATCCTGGCCGTGCCCGTCAGGAAGGGACGTGCAGCTGGGCACCTCATCTGAAATTCCTGGAGACRAAAGGCCTGGCCTGGATGGGCATTCCCGTGGGAGCAGGAACATCACGTATAAGCATTTGGCACCACATGCAACACGTGTATAGACACACACATACCCTCTATACGTCTGTTTATGTGCGTGTGTGTGCATACACGCTCAGTGCACGTGCATGCGTGTAGGAGGAGGGAGCCGCTGTGGGTCACCATCCTCAGATAAAGTCCTAGAAATGAAATCCTTGATGAACGGGATGCGGTGGGTCTGTGCTCGCCTGCCTCCCCAGCACCCGGATTCCAAAGCTTTTGGAGCAGGGCTTGCATCCATGAAGTAGAGAGATTTTAATTCCAGTGTGTTTTAACCTGTCTGTTCTATAAGCCACAGCTACTTATCCTTCTATATTAAAAATAGAAAAAAAAATGTTCTATCTATCTGTATAATTTATAAACATACCTTCTCCCTCTGTGGCTTCTAAGTGTGCTGTTAATTTTTAATTGGTTCCTTTTACTAAAATGATCTTAAAGTTCATATGAGTCTTCAGGATTCTGACTTAAATTGTATAGCTGTAGGGTTTGAAACTAATTGTCAACTTGACCGAAAACGATGCTGAGGGTTTCCTTTTTTTTTCCTCTTGTTTTTCTAACTCCACGTCCTGGGACTTCACGGCAGTAGCGAGCCACGTCCTGCAGCTCTGCTCCTGGAGAGCACTGCCTTGCGCTCCCAAAGGGCCCGGCCCGAGATCGGACAGCAGGGCAGCGGCACGCGTTGGCCGTGGCCCTCGTCTCTCCTCGACGGCTTTAGCAGAGGCCGCCAGTACCTGTTAAACTCGGGTTTAACACCCCAGGTATCAAAGCGGGGCCGCGCGGCGCCCGCGCAGCGCTGCTGCCCTCGTCTCGCTTTGGTTTTATGCAGTTTTCTTTGCAAGTTGGAGATACTTCCATTAAAAAAAAACAAATATAGGAACATTTATAAGTAAGTGAACTGTCTCAGGCTTGTGTGTAAAATACAGCACTGTATATTTTCGGGAATGTTGCTTTGTTTTTGTTCTTTTTTTAATCTTACCTTATTTTTCGGTGATACCTAGAAGAGACCTGACATTCCATAATCAGCCAATATGTAATGCTCAGCTAGCCTTTTAAGAATATTTAATTATAATTTACGTTTTGTTTATGCAGGTTGTTTTATCCAGTACTTGGTTCATGTTCTTCAGAATACAGCCACTATAACTTGATAAGTCATTGCACTACTAGAACTATTTAAAAATCTAGAACTATATTAACCTTGATTTTGTTTCCAGAAGCAYGGGGTGCGGCGTGGAGCCCGGGAGCGCTGCCGTGCTCCCCGGCCGCGCTGCCAAGCCGGCGGCTTGCGGGGAACACGGATGYTTTTCAGGCGGCATCGGGACGCGGCCGGCCGGAGCAGGTGTCCYGTTTTCATGGAGAGCTTTAGGAGCGCAGCCGGAATGGAAAACACAGCTCTACAGAGAAAGCGTCGCTGGGCTTTATAAAGGAGTTGAAGTGATATTAAAAAAAAAGACAGATTAGTTTTTATACATTTTTTCCACGCATAGTAATTTTGCACTGTTAGTAATGCCCTTCTCTTACCCCCTGTTCCCTGTCTGCAATTCTGAAAATGCTTATTAAAATATTTTTTTAAACATACTGTCTGCATAAAAAAAGGACTGAGTTGTTTTTTATTGAAACACGGAGTGCAGTTGTTTCTGCTTACACAGGGAGGGAAGGAACTTCTGGCCCCTTGGCAGTAACTGTTACTGCTTTGATGGACTTAGYTGAGGGAAAAAACCTCCTCTCCTGGCTTTGAGATTAAACTTAGGCCGAGACTTCTTTGAACTGCTTTCATTGCTGTGGGGCAACGTTTCGTGAAGGAGGTTTGGGGCATTTTTCTTCTTTTTCTTTCCCTCTGTATACATTTAAAGAACCCACCAAGGATGCAGGCTTGAGAAGGAGGAAGGATGGGACCCACCTGCTGCCCCCAGCACCTTCCTTGTCCCGCTCTGCAGAGCCGGGGCTGCGCAGGGCCGCCCCCACCCCGGCCCCCAACGAAACAGCCCCCGTSGCCAGAGCAAAACGGGCACCAGTTTATTCGAAGCCAGTACAAAAATACATAGGCACATAAAATCCTTCTGCCGTCGCTAGCGACTTCCAGCCTGCCATACATTCAAATAAAACGGTCGCCCTTTTAATCACTAAAGTGAGAATTCTGTAAATAGAATCTATATAGAAAAAATTAAGTGGATTAATAGCATAGAAAATACTGCTCTATGGRCTGCGGGAGCTCTCCCGGGGCGTGYGAGACCGCCGAGCCCGKGGCACCGAAGGGGGTGTGTTTACAAACAAATAAGCTTTAAAAAATATTTCTGCCATCTGGACAATAAATCTAACCAGTAGATTTTAGATGAACGGCCAAGGCGCTCGCTGCAGCCAGGGGCCTCCTGCCCGGCCTCGGCAGGGCAGAACCGGCACCGAGAGCTGCAGCGGCCCCGTGTCGGGCCGGGCTGCGAGCGGAGGCCAGGAAGGGTGTCCGGGCAGCCTGGCATTCCCGCTGCGGGAAGCGAGGAAAAGCGGCGGCGGCTCCGCGCGCCGCCCCGCGCTTCCGCACAACGCGCTCCGAGGAACAGAGCTTGTCTAAAGCCGCGCTCGCTGCTCAGCAAATACCCGCCAGGAGCCTGGGGAAGCTGCCTTCCTAGTGACTAAAACAAAAAATAAACACAACTATATGGTTTTGCCAAAACTAAAAAGCGTTTGCTAAAATTATAAAGATTTCTTTTTTCCAGCCCAAAGGCGGTTGATCCAAGGGAGGGATGTGGGCCCGAGCGCCGCTGCGCGAGGCCTCCTCCCAACCCGCGGGGGAGGCCGGACGGGCCGGAGGAGCGTGGGACACACGCGGGACACACGTGGGACACACGTGGGACACACGGGACACGTGCGGGACACGTGCGGGACACGCAGCCCCCGGGCCCCGCGGCCGCCAGCCCGGCGCTGCCTCCTGCTCCCACGGGACGGGATCGGCACCGCCCTGGGACCCTCAGCACCTCGCGAGGCCCCGCAGCCCCATCTCAGCTTAATTAACCCCCGGATTAGCCTCGTGATCCGACCCGATTAGACGCCGAAATGCCGCTTCCCAATCACTTCTCAAGGCAGCCATCTAGACTGCGAAAATTAAGAGCTCTGCCGTGCGTCCCCCGCGGACGCCCCCGATTCCTTCTGCTCTCAGCAGCATCGCCCCGGTCACACAGAGCTTTTCCCTTTACTGTCCATCTTGCCGCCGGCTTCAGAGGGCTTGTTCAGCTGCTCTTCCGTGAAGGTGATGTAGGAATACACGAGGCTTCCAGCAATACTGCAAAACACGGGGAAACGACGGCATGAGCAAGTGTGGAACAGCGGCCGCTGGCGCCCAAACGCTTTTCTGCTAGAAAAGTTCTTCCTCTGTGTTTTCCTCCTAAGACCACATATTCTGTCTAATTCATGCCCAAATGCTTCCCTTTCTGCATGCTCCTTATGTCACTGGATGTGCTCCATCATTAGCACAATCCCACTGAAGAGCACGGGCAGGAAARGGAAACTTTCCAAAGCTGAAATACCTGCCAATAGAGAAAGGGGACGTTTCTGAAAACCGCGTGGAAATAATAATAAAAAAAAGGACAGTTACTAATAATAGGAACTTTTAGCTACAAGTAGAGCTAAAAGCAGCGCTCGCTTCCCACAGACTCCCGGGATGTGCAGGGCGGTGCTGCGCCCAGCACTGAAAACTCTGAAAAATCTGACTTTTTTTTTTAAGGATTTTAACCAGTCAAATTGTCTCACAGCAGCTTTCACTTGTGAATTACAAAGAGTAACCGCAAACACWTGGAATTCTTACCTGATATTTAGACCAATGAAGTTTGTCCATGTAAAAATATAGTCTCCTCCAAAAAACATTCCAATATAGGTTACTAAAATATTCTGAAACGGAACAAGGTTTTAGTTACAAGAGCATTTTGAGGCACAGGTTTACCCATTTTCTGCACGAATTCCCCCAAAGGGAGGCCAGAGCCTCCTGGAAAAGCAGGGAAATGGCCCCGGCGGGTGCAGCTCTCTCTCTGTGATGAGCTTGTTCGGTCTCTGCACGGAGCGATGCTGCCCTGCACAGCACAGAACCCTCCATCTGGCTCCAAGGGCCAAAGCTGCTGTTTAACAAGAGGCACCGGGAACGACCCGCAGCGACCACCGCTCACCTTAATGCAGCCAACTATTGTAGTTGTCAGTGCGGAGTTATACTGCGTGCAAAGCACTGTGGAGTACATCAGGATAAACCTGCGGGGGAAAGGCGGGACCGTCAGGTGGCAAAGCGTCTCTCCATCTCCCCCTTCCAGGGCGTTTTTGCTCCACCGCAGCACGGGCACCGAGGCCGGGTGGGAAGCGAATCCCCCCAGTGCCGCGCTCCRAAACGGTCTCCTCCCGGGGAGCTGAGGCCCTGCTGGTGCCCAGGGCACCAGGACACTGCCGCTCCGCGGGGGCTGCCACCCCTGCTCGCTGCCCAGCTCCGCTCTCACCAGGGCACCGCTGCCGCCGGCACCCAGCGCACGAGCTGTGCCCCGGGCCGGCGCTCAGCACCAAGGGGGACATTTCTTTGCAGCAAGAAACTTCTCTCCACGTTGCTAGCACTAAAGCTCCCCTCATTAGTGCTGTTAATTAAGGTTTTTGGACGTGCGAGTGGGCAAATGGGGCTGCTGTTTTGACGTGGGGGCTCCCTGCAGTGGGAAAGGCAGGGAAAACACCCGCGGGGGGCGCAGCGAGAAGCCCTTACCCCATAATGCAGGACAGCATGAACTGCACCACGAAGAGCAGGTCGGCCCAGCCCGGGAACTCCAGCGCCTGCAACGACAGCACGGGGACAGCGCTGCAGCGCGGGCGCCCAAACCGCCGGGGCAGTGGGGACCGGAGCCCGCGGAGCCCCTGCGGGCGAGCGGGACGCTGCGTTGAGAGCCACGGGCCAGCGCCGCCCGCTCGGGGACCCGGCCCAGCGTCACTGYGGTGGGACAACACGCTGATGTGTTTGGTAAGAGAAGAGGCTGAAACGGYGGCGGTGTTTTGGGCAAGCGGAACCACACGCGACCCCGAGCGGGTCCGGGGCGCCGGATCCCAGAGCACGCGGGTCTTGCAGCTGTGTCAGCGCTCGGAGCAACTCCGAAAGACAGGGCTGCACCAGCAGAAGGAAGGCTGAGTTTCAGCAGGGAGCTTGTCGGTTTTTGAATCATAGAAACATAGAATGCTAAAGTTGGAAGGGACCCTTAGAGATCATCTAGTCCATCCTGCACACACAGGGACACCCAGAGCACGGGGCACAGGCTGCATCCAGGYGGGTTTGGAAGRTCTCCARAGAAGGARCCTCCACCGGGTAGCCTGTGCCAGGGCTCTCTCACTGTCAAGAGAKTTTTCCTTAAGTTCCTGGGGAACTTCCAGTGCTTCAGTTTGTGGCCGTTTCCTCTAGTCCTGTCGCTGGCCACCACTGAAAAGAGGCCGCCCCCTCCTCCTCACTGCCTCCCTTGAGGTATTTATAGAGGTTGTTCTTTTGGGGGTGGAGGGAGCTGGGGGGGTTGTGTTTTTCTCCTTTTTGTTATTTTTTGTTTAATCTTTTGGGTGTTTTTTAAAGGAAGCTCCCCCCTGGTCCACCTGACGGCGCAGGCCTCGCGCTCACCCCTTCCGGGCCGCGCGGCGCCGCCGCCACAACCTGCCCTCGGCAGCCGCCCCCGCGCGCCGAGCCCCGATTAGATCTGAGGGCAAGTTCCTCCGAATCGGGGCTTCTCCACGAACTCTCAACACGGGTTTTTAGAGGCGTGACACTCACACTCACTCACTRTCCTGACCGGGCCCTTGGGGAGGAGTTTTCCCAGAATCCCASAATGTTCAAGGTTGGAGGGGACCTCTAGGGATCAWTCCACGGGTGTCCAGCAGGGACACCCAGAGCTCGGGACACGCGGTCCCATCCAGGCGGGTTGGCAGATCTGCAGAGCAGGAGCCTCCGCAGCCTCCCTGGGCAGCCTGGGCCAGGGCTGGGCACCCTCACAGGGAAGAAGTTCCTCCTCACATGGAGATGGAGCTGCCTGGGCTTCAGCTTGGACCCACTGCCCCTGSTCCTGTCACTGGCCACCAACGAGAAGAGCTTGGCCCCCTCCTCCCTATATTCTCCCGTCATTCTCCGGGCTGCCGCCCTGGGCTCTCCCGCCTCGCTCCGTTAATCCGGGGAGCATTTCCAGGACGGGCCGCGCGGGCAGGCGCTGCGCAAGGCGCAGCCTGGCTAGGCGCAGCTCTAAAGGCTGGTTTTCGCAACGCGGCGAATGTTGGATTTCCTGGTAGTAATTCCAACAGACACATCTTTGTTTGCCTCCAACTGCCAAGAGCTTGTTCAGAGCGGGGGGAGGAAAAGAGAAGTTTATTCAGAAAAAAAACAGTAAGAGGAGATTGCGCTCTGGGCCAAACAGAGGCTCCACAGTGCAGCACAGAGCAACATTCTGCTCCATGTCCGCCAGCTCCTGGTTGTAAATGAACACATTATCCCAAATATATTCCAGCTGAGCCACCCTCCACCGAGAGCAGGGGCTTGGAAYGTCTCCTTAGCCCACACTTGCTTCTCATCACGTAATCAGTGCTCATTAGCTTAACAAGGGCTGACCAGGGGGGCCTCACCTCGCTGCCCTAAGGAGGAAGGAGCTGTTGCAGTTGCTGCCTGCTCCCGCTCTGGGAACGGCCGTGGGCACTGGAGCAGGAACGCGGATGGGACTGGGATTTAGTGCGCTGCGGGGACAGCCCAGGTAACACAGACCCTGCAGAGCCACTCGGGCCTCTCCTCGGCCTTTCTCTCGTGGTGAAGGGACTTGCTTGTTCCACAAGTGCTAACTTTCGCTTTAAATAACACTTAGTTCAAACTTCTCCCCTCAYGCTTCTCCATTCCTCAAGCATTACAAAAATGCTTTAATGAAGCAATTCTGTGGATTTAAAGCAAGCAGAACTTGCTTTAATTTTTTATTCTAATTTCACTTGCRCAGTTCTCTCCTGTTCACACAAAGCCTGTCCTCAGATTATCTTCTGCCCTAAACTGATCCAGCAGATGTTATCTAGTATTTATTTGTAGGTTGAGGATAATGAAGTACTTCAGTTTCACCTTTTCCTCCCCTTCCCCCATAAAATGGCAAATATTCAAAACGTAAGTTACAGAGGGTACGTGTGGCTGCATGCTAAAACAAACAGCAAAATGTTGCTCTAAGCAGTAGGGAGTCACACATTTAGCTCCAAAGGCGTTGCGCCACTGGAGATTTTGCATTTTGGGGTCAGATTCTTACCTTCTGTGCGTCTCCGGTGAAATAGGCAATGATCAAGGTGGGAAGTATCATGAACAGTGCRTTGTAGTAGAGCAGGCCGTATCTTCCCAGCTCCTGGAGAGGGGAAACAGCTCCATCACTTACACTGGCTGCACCCAGAACACGGCCCTTATTCACAGCACTACTGAAGACCAGCCCTTATGAGCTAAATCCACACGGGCTTTGCACAGACTCAGGGGTTTTACAACGTGCGAGGCCATTTCCATGCTGCTTTAAAACAGTAGACCGAGTTCTGCTCTAGAGCCTTTGTGGAAACTGCATTGTTAGCAAGTCCCTACTTGCCTTCTCCTAGAGGCAAAGACACAGTAAAATTTCACAGGACCATGATGATATTTTGGTTAGAAACTTAGAGACTAAAACTAAAAGCCTATCTGCTGATACYGGTGTTTCCAGCAAATACTTCCTACCACCCCCATCAGCGGACACAGTGCAAAGTGATCCAAATAACCGGGGTACAGGAGCGGCACCCAACCCCGCTGGGCAGGATTCCTGGCGGCGGGAGCTTCCCGTGCCCGCAGCCAACATCCCGGCAGCCTCGGGAAAGGCGCCCGGCTGCCAAAACACGGCTTGCCCGGGAGGGAGACGGGGAAAGGCCGCCGCCGGCTGCGCGCTGCACCTCCCYGCATAGTCTGCGTGTGAGGTAAGAGCGGAGCTCGGGGCGCGTGGGCAAGCCTGAGCCGTTACCATCACCCAAAACACGGCCCCTTGGCTGGCGGCAAGTAGAACTGCTCCCCGGGGCTCGCCACGGCCAGGGCTGGGGCAACAAGGACACCAGAACAGCGGGGAAATGTCACCCGGTGTTCGGGACGAGAAATTGAGAGGGATGGGGATGACCACAGAAATTGCCAGGGTGCCACTGCCCAGCGCTGSGTATATTTAGAACGACATCCCAGCACCAGGCAGTGCACCCAGAATAAGGAACACAGCAGCACATTTAATCTGGAATATGACTTCTCCATTTCCTACCATAGCAGCACCCTGAACACATGAATTAAAAATAGATTACAAAGGCCACGGTATTCACCATGACACCAAATGCTAACTTCTGGTGTAACGAGAGCACGGTTTAGTTAAGGTGGGAAAGAAGGAGGTGTTTGGCCTCTGAATGGGAACATTAGGGATCATCACAGCTGGAGGCCAAGCGCTGCCTCCCCATGCGTGGGGCTGAGGCAGAGGAGCACGATTCCAAAATGCCATCAACGAAAGCAAAGGTCAGCCTACCTTGGAGTCCAGCTTCTGCTTTACATAGGCACCGTTTGCAGCTGTTAAGGCGTCGTTAACGAGGATAAAAATATATCCTTCCAAATCAAATGCCAAGTCAGCACTAAGAAAGGAAAGAAATAAGTCTATTAACAACACAGAACGCAGCTGTGAGAGATTTCTTCCACCTTTTCTCAGTAAGTTGTCAGAAAGAGTTAATCCTGCAAGGACTGGGATCCAAGTCTGGAAAACATTCTTTCCTATTATAGCCTATGTCTGAAGCAAAGAAAGTCACCACTTACTCATGCTCTTCTTGGGACATAGTGTGATACTCTTCTCACCTTAACCCACTTAAAAAAAAAGTTTTCCTCTAGCAACGTCCTCCAAAGGCTCCCCGGGTGATTTTAAGCGAGCTCTGGCCGTTTCTCAACAGCACCAACATCGGAACAGGCACCAAGAACTCATCMCGAAAGGCCTCTGAGCATCATGTGTTGCCAAGGTCTGGGCAGCCCCGGGGCCGCTGCACGGGCCCGAATGCAGCCACAGGTAACAGCAGCGAGGAGCACGAAGCCAAGGGCTCACCTGGCAGCCACAAACGCGCCGATGATCATTGCGAATACTGTCATCTGAACGCCCCAAGAAAACTTCTTCCTGCGGGCAGGGAAGCGAGAACACTGCTGTCATTCACAAGCAGCCTCGCCGCAGGACTGCGCGCGGGCAGCAGCAGCCGGACACACCGCTCGCTGGGCGGGCGGCAGGGAAAACACAACACAGCAGCAACGAAAACCCAAGGCTTTCAACGATTTCTCCTTTTTTTTTTTTTTAAAGGAAGGTTGGCAGTGATGAGGCTCCAGTTTCAACGCTGTCCTGCTCATTGCAGCACTGCTGGTTGCTGCTGGGATGAGCCAGGAACCCCCGAGCACCGCGGCAGCGGCTTGGGGACACACTGAGCGCCCGGCCAGGCGCCCCAGGAAGCGCGGGAGGTCCTGGGGCTGCATAAGGCAACAGCACAAACTGCCTCGGGACCTGTCCTGCTGCGAGCATTAGCGAGCAGCACGTGCAGAAACACAGTGCAGATCAAGGTGAGTCCTCACAGCAACTTACACACCAGTTCCTCTACCCACTCGTATTTCTAAAGCCTAGCACAGGGCCAAAACGCCTGACCACACAAGTGTGGGACGCAGAAAGACTTATTGAGATATGGCTTGCTGTTTCATCACCTTAAGGCTTTTATAGCTACAGACACTATCTGCCACTGATAGCCTTGGAGAAGCAGTTGGGAAGACTCACTTGAGCAAAAATCCTTCAGCAAACATTGTAAACAGGATGGAGAACCTTCGCAGGACTGTAAACATTGGCAGGCTAAAAATAAAATAATAATAGAGAGAGATTCAGCGAGGTGAGGGGGCTTCCCTCCCATYGCTGCAGCCGTGCAGCCCGATCCCCTTAGCCCTCGGAGCAGCCCAAGGGCTGGTGGCAGAAGCCTCAGGGGGGACCGTCACCCACCCGGGGTCCTTGTCCCCCAGGGCAGCCGCGGGGAGCCCCAAGCCCAGTCCCATCTCGCCGTGTTCACCATGAGACACGGCAGCAGGCGCCAACACGCGAGCCACAACCACAGCCACATCGCCCCGGGYGGCCGTTCTCCACCTCCCGCCCCGTCCCAAACACCCCATGTGCAAAAGCGCCCGCGTTTCAGGACTCTGCTCCCGGGAGAGGGGCTCGGGAGCACTGGGGTTCCTCGGGGAGCCACGCGCAGGGGACCCGCTCGTCACCGTCACCGCGTTACGGYGCCTTGCAGCCCGTACTTCAGTTTCTTTGTGCTGAACAGCCCCGTGATCTGGTTCCCGAAGTACAGCAGAGGTAGAGGAAACGTCTGGAAAGGCGCAAGAGGGACAAGGCTTAACGGGCCGGCCGAGGCCACCCCGCCGTGCTTTGCAGACGGAGCTCTTCCCGAGGATGGGCACCTATAGCTCCATGTACAGCTCTGTGTACAGCTCTGTGTACAGCTCTGTGTACAGCCCCAGGCACGGCTCCGCGCGGAGCAGCCCCGGGGCGGCGCGCGGCTCCTTACCCGCCGCGGGACGTGCCGGTCCAGGTCCGGGAACTTGAGCAGGCGCAGCGCCTTGCCGGCCCGCAGCACCGCCACCGTGGCCAGCATCTGCGGGACGGCACCGGTCAGGGATGGGGGACACGGCAGGGGCACTCACCTGCCCCAGCCCCTCGGGGACAGGGGGGTCGGGGGGACACTCACCTGTCCCAGCCCCACGCACAGCGAGGACGGGAACCTGCGGGCACAGAGCGGTGGTCGGGACGGTCACGCGTGGCCCCCCACCCAGGCGGGAGCCCCCCGGATGCCGATGGACACACTGCACGTGTCGGGGTGCACGGCTGAGGRGTGTGAGGGGTGCCAAGAGGGAACGTGGCGGTGTGGGGGTACTGGGGAGGGGCAAGCAGGGGGGTCCCCAAAGTGTGGGGGAAGTCACGCTGGGAAGGGGGGTGATCCCCAGGGAGGAGGGTAACGGAGAGGAGGGGAGGTGCTGGGGAGGGCCCGGGGGGTCCCGCTGGGGGCGCGAGGGGGCTCGGGGCGCCCAGCAGGACCCTGGAGAGGGGGCTAAGCCCAGCGCGAGGCCGGGGGGCTCCCCGCGCGGAGGGGGGGTCCCGCGCCGTACCCGTAGGCGGTGAGGACGCTCTTGTTGAGCACGACGATGAGGAAGGAGCTGAGGCCGTAGAAGGCGGCGGCCAGGAGGCGCAGCAGGAGGCTGAGGCCCGGCGGCGGCGCCATGCCCCGCTCCGCATCGCCGCGCGCGGGGGCT